GGGGGGAAATGTCTGTATCAAATGTAATTTGTAATGTTGGATTTTCCCCCTTATCAGAGGGTGCCCCTTGTGGAGTACTGTGAAGTCATTACCATGGCAACCCCACTGAGCTGTACTATAGAAGCCACTTTACAGCAGTACAGTAGAATCCATTTTAAGGTACAACTGGCTGTATCTTAACAGAACACACACCCCGAGAGGTTTTAGGGGTGCCTTACCCCCTAAAGTATTTGTTTCCAGAGAGTAAGTCATCTGTGAGCCAAGTTTGGTTGAAATTGTTCAAGGCGTTCCAGATTTATGTTGGAACATACACACACCCAAAGCTGCTTATATACCAGCACCTTGAACTGTATTCAAAAGCACACTGGCAACCAAAGGCATGTAGTGGAAAGTCCACAGGTACTCACACCTCTGCATTCAGGACCAGCTGAAGCTTCCAATTGGTCTTCAAGATCATCCCAAGCTAGAGCCATTTCCAACAGGCAAACCATGAGAAATAAGGCCATGAGCGATCCTGGAAAGGACGCACTAGCATATCGGATAGTGTGCTAGTGCAAAGCTGGCTAGTCTTTGAGCGGGTGCTTTGCTTCTAAGAGAAATCCTCCTCTCTAAGTTGCTCTTCATTCCTGATTGGGGAAGTGTAAAACTAATCCAAATCCCTCAATTCCCAATCTCTGGATCTGTCCATAAAAATATTTTGGGACAAAGGAATCCAAGGATGGAAGCACCAGCTCTATTCTGGCTCCATTTTAGGTAATCAACAAGTACAAGCAAAGCTATGTAAAATTTTGACCATGCTGTTAAAAAAACAACAATTTTATGGTATATCAAGTGACAAAAACATTCATAAGAAATGACAATTAGTTCTTTTGTCACACAACCTCTGAGGCTCCTAGCTGACAAAAGCTAAGGCCATAAGTGACTCCCGGTTTTCACTATGAAAGTTTTGTTCAAAGAACAAACTGATGTGAGAATATAATATCCAGAAGGATAAGAATATAAATAGATTAAAACTATAAATATGGGAAGGTGGGAATGCTGAACAAATTGACCCAACAGATAAAATGAGCTTGGATGTTCCAAGGTTAGATGGAAATAGAAAGCAATATTTATAGTTGCTGCAAAGACATGGGAAGGGCATAAATATCAGTGCAATTTCAATGTAGGACAACCTGTAGCAACACATTTGCAATGTACATGAGGTTTGGGAAGTTTGGTTCAGAGCTTCACAAAACAACATTAAAGAAGCTAAAGGATGTTTTTGAATAAAATGTGATTTGTTCATAGGCCTGGATAAAGCTGAAACCATGCCTTCACCAAGAAATTGAAAACACATCTTCCTGTCCAGTTGGTTCCTCCATCCTTTTGGGAGAAAAGGTGTAAATTAATAAGTTGGGGAAGAAACCAGCAGGGGACTCAGTGAATATGGTATAGTCAAGATGGTACCATAACCCCACAATCAAAGCCTCAGCCCAGGGTCTTTTCACATGCATTATGTACACAATGCTCATAAAAAGGAGCAGAGCTTCAGTTATGCCATGGCAATTGCCATCTTGACTTCTTCTTTTTGACACACATACATATCTTTTCAGGCTCTCTGGAAACACGCACCTATTTTATTTAGAGTAGATATGATACCAGACAAAACACTAGCCAGTCTACATGCCCAGACATGAGAGGTCTCTCACATTATGTTAATTGTTTTTCCATCCTTTATTGCTTGTGGAACTGAAACATAATAGGCAAGTAACTATTTTCTTGTGAGATGCTGCATTGAAAGGAACTCATCATGAAATGCATTCAGATATTCTTTCTGCATTGGTCATCTCAGTCTGTCTTACTAGTCCTCTCTTAGCTGAACACAATACAGTCATGGTAACTGAACACTAGGAGGATGTTCATACATTGATGTGCACATCTTAGAGACAAGCCCAGGAAGCAATTTGCATCAATGCACACATCAATCTCCCTTCTCATCCTCCTTGCCCTGTCCTGGTTTAAAAACTGTTTTAAAATATTATTAATGGTAACTGTTATTGTTCAACCTGCTTTTCTCAGATAGCAAAGTTAGTATAAAGCTGAAGCATTCCCATTGACTGGGCTTACTTTTAGTCATCAGAAGCTTTAATGTGTTTAAGTAAAATTGGCACAGCTGGTTGAAAGCTTGGCCACTCCTAGGAGGTATATTTCTATAATTGCTTTCAGTGTGATGCCAAATTAGTTGGAGCGCATGGGTGAGTTTTGGCTTCTTCTGAGCATATAAGCTACATCATTGGCAAGCAGCTAAAAACTTTCGATTTACTAAATTTGCATTCGTAGCTTACTAAGAAACATTCATTCCTGAGTTATTTATACAAATAATAAAAGTGCATAATAAATATTGCATCTGTTAGAAACTTGTAAGCAAGCATATGTAGGTTTGTCCCATGAGGATCTGACAATACACTATGGCAACTTCTCCCAAAGGTGCTTTTTCAAGAAGCAACTGGACTTTCTAGTTTTTCTTTGAAGATGTTTTGCTTCTTATCCAAGAAGCTTCTTCAGCTCCTTTGGGACAACCATAGCCTGGATGACTGAGAATCTCCATAGAAACGTGGCAATTTCTATTTGATTATGTTTTCTGGAACATTCGGGATCATTTGAGCATCTGGGGCCTGAAAGAAAGGAATAACATCTATACTATAATAACACCATTGCACAAATTAATGCCAGTTATATAATTTGTATCATTTGTGATATGACATTGTAATGCAGATTACATCATCAGGTCTTAAAACATCAGGTCTCAGGTGTAGACTTGAGGACTTTTGGGGGTTACAGCTTTTCCTAGCTTTTTTGTTGTTTTCAGAACCATAGACAACTTGGTCTATGCACAAGGATTTTCAAGTAAACTCACTATATCTATGTTCTGCCAAATGCTGTATATTGTCCTTACATGATTCTTGATAGGATATGTAATTATACAGTCATATGCATAGCTTAATTAATTAATTAATGTTTAATTAATAAATTTATTGATTTATTATTACAATCACCATCTTGGAATATCAATCCTTCATGTTATTACTGTTCCATATCTTTCAAAACTTCCCTGCAATAAAAACGTTTCTTAAACTTTGGCCAGAAAAGTCTATCGCTAACTTTGAAGCATTTAAATGAAGCCTTCATATCTTTACTCATGGTGGGGGGTTTTTTGGACTTCCATGGTTCACTCTTTTAAAATCATTCCTTTTAAAATACATCTGTCCAATATGAATGTAATCACTCCACCTTTCAGATATGAAATTGTTCAGAAAGTGATATGCAGCAGCTGTTTCTAGTATATTAATCTTCTGGTTTATATTGTTGAACTACATAAAAAGTACCAATAAGACTTCAACATACTTTAAAAATACTTTTTATTTGTTTTACATTAGTAGCAATTCTTGTATGTAGCACTTGATAATTAGGCAATAAAAATATGTATCTCTTGTTAACTCTCTCAGGCTATATAGGTGTTTCTAGGCCACTTTTAGTGCTACCAATCAAACAGATGTTATTTTCTTTGACATATTTCATTTTTAAACAAAAAGGATGAAACGGAGCACAGAAATATGGGAGGATTACAAAACTGAAAACATTCTTGCCCTGAACCTTGTAAAATCCATGTTTACTAGAAGATAGTTGCAAATAAACCTTCATCTAAAGCACTCTATCCTTTAGCAAGGATGTTTTATGTAGGATGTAGGAGGAGACAAAATTTGGCCATATTATGACTAACCTGTGGTTACTGAAGGAAAATAAATTTTGGCATACTTATGCAAATAAAATAATAATCATTAACGGAAAGGAACAAGTTTCCTATTTTGTATGCAATCATTATCTAAAATCAATACAAATGACTTCAGAGTAGGTTTGCTTAGAACGGGAATTTAATAGGAAATAGATTACCTCTCCTTTTCTTTTTCAAAAATCTTACAGGGGAGAAAATTAGCCCACTTGATAATTCAATTGCCTTCGCCTGACCTCAGTTATTTCCCCCATTGCATTTTAGTTTGGCAGAGCATGTGGATAAACATGTTAGCTTATATCTTTGTATAGCAACATACATTTCATTTGGTTTCATTGTAGTGACAACTTGCACACTCAGCTGGGAGTATAGTATAAGATCCACAATGTTCAAGTTGGTAACTTATTTATATTCAAGTCTCAAAGGCTAAACATAAATTAAGTCTTCATGGTAACTCTGCAACCTAAAGGTTCCATCTACGCAGTATGCAATTTTCCTGATATCCTGCTTTTGTTGGCTTCCTTCCAAAATGTTTTTTTTAATCTTTCCAATCTAATCAACTGCACTGGGAGCTCTGCTATTCTTCCATCCAATTATTAACTAGGGTCAAGCCTGCTTAGCTTTTCACCCTCTGTCAAAGTGGGTTAAGTGCTGCCCCCTGCTGCTTCCAAGGAAGTTATAAATTGAAGCCCAGTGCTGCAAAGTATTTAAGGGAAATATAAAAACATTTATTTTATGCAGCAGAACCATCTCTAACTACGGAGATGCCAGAGAAGGCAGTCGAAGGCAACGCCTACTGTACACACACAGAGCGAGACCAGGATCAGGTAAGGAAGTCTGTCCGTTGCCATGGCAATTCGAGGCCCTAAAATTCGAAACTTTTAAGCAAGCGCTTAAAATTATAACAGTAGATCCGCGCGGCAAGAATCAGCCGACCGCTAGGGGGCCACAGAGCGCTCGCAGAACACTCCCTGCTACCATCTAGCGGCCGTTTGGACGTTTCCGGCCCTCGATCGAACTCCGCTTGGGTGGCGCTCGCGGCGGTTTCGCTGACGTCAGCGGAGGACGCGCGGACGAACGGTGACGAAGGCGGAAGCGGCTCAAGGGCTGGCGTGGAGGCGACCTCCGCTTCCCCCAACTCAGCCGGAATCAGCGCTGCCATGGAGGTAACCGGCGGCGGGGAGTTGGGGGAGGGCGGGAGGCGCCGCCTGAGGAGCTGAGCCTGCCCGGTTTCGCTGGCCTGCGACCCACGAGGGTTGGCTTTTCTCGGTTCGCTTTCCCTCCGGCTGTAAAAAGGCCTCCGCCCCCGCCGTTAGTGAGCCGGGGGGGGCGTTTTCCTGGGTGGGGGGACGATAAAAAAAATGCCGTTGAGTGGTGCTCGAAATGGCTGGATAGTCTATTCTGGACCGAGCCGAACCCGTGGTCTCTGTCCGCTTTTCACAAGTCGTCTTGAAACACCGCCAAAGTGATTTACCGAGAGGCTAAAATTCTTTTAAGCAGCCTGAAATGGGTCCTATTCGCCACAACCCGAGATTTTGTGTGTATGTGTGCGTGTTGCGGATGGTGCCGAATCGCCTTTGGTCTTGCCTACCTATGACTTTAGCAGCAACCTGGCAGTCCCAACAAGTGAAGCTTTCCTGGTTCAGACTGAAGTCAAGGAAGGCGCGGTGCTTAAGAAGGAAGCAATAAAGGACTCTCTTGGCTGCAACCAAAACTTTACTTAAGTTGCTTACATGTTGGGTTTTCTCACTTCCTTCAGATTTATAGTAGAAAACAACAAGTTTTTGAAATGTGGGCACGGTCTGTTGTTCGATTTTGGCTTCATGTCTTATGAACTTGTTGTGGTTTGCTCAGTAAACTGGTTTAGTGTAATGTACTATAAGCCCTCTCTGATTTTGACAAATAATGAACTCCAGGTAGTATAATCAAACAGCAGGGTAGAACAAGAAGCAATGGATGGAAACTAATCAAGGAGAGAAGCAACTTAGAACTAAGGAGAAATTTCCTGACAAAACAATTAATCAGTGGAACAACTTGCCTCCAGAAGTTGTGAATGCCCCAACACTGGAAGTTTTTAAGAAGAGATTGGACAACAATTTGTCTGAAATGCTATAGGGTTTCCTGACTAGAAGACCTCCAAGGTCCCTTCCAACTCTATTATTCTATTTTAGCACCTTGCAATTATCTTTCACTTTTAATCTTGTGGAAAGGAAAGCCAGTAGTACAGAACATTCATTCAAGTAAATATGGTAATGTCTGGACTCTTCCTCCATCACGCCACTAAACGAAGCAGTGTGGTGGCTTATTTAAAGGCTAATCAGGACACACACACATCCCAAAAAAGTTTGAGACGTTATAATGTGCTCTGAATGCTGAATATAATTTTCTCTGTACTTACAACAGTTTGTTAACTGTCTTTGCAATAAGTTTATGTTCTAAGCTTTTGTGTGTCAGTGTATTGCATTGAAACAAGACCAATTTTTAAAAATTGGATGTCATCAGATTTGGTCATGATAACTCCTGATTTATTTGTATTAAATGGTCTACAAAACAGTATTTCATCTTTTGACAAAAATACAGGGAAAAATAATTCTAAATGTCATAAGGGAGAAAGTTGAACTAAACTTTCCTTGCCACACCTACAAGCAATACATTCCAGAAATATGTTGGTTTATTAGTAAACATTATTGTCTTGAGCTACAGATTTTTTACCAGAAGGTGGTGCTGAGAGACTGATGTTTTTATTCTGTAGGATAATTTAAGATTTCGCTTTTATTTTTCAGTGTTGTAATGTTAATATAAGTCATTCAGAGCTTTTACAATGAGATGCTATGGTGTTCAAATATCAAATATGTGGGCACTATAGTATATCATAGCATATCATGACAGGAATTAGTTTAATGTGTACCCCTTTACAATTTGTCATAGTTGAAAAAAAGTTTCACATTCCCTTGCCCAATTTTTTTTATTAACTTACCATATCATCTATGTGTGACAACTCTGGTTAACCTTAACTATGGCCTATTCAAATTGTGGGTTATGAAGCAACAGAATTTGTTGTTGGTAATTTAAAACAACAGAAGAAAAAAGCATATTTTCTCCTCATAGCTATCCCAGAGAAAGAAGAGAAGAGAAGTAGATGAGGTATAATGTTCTGTATTGTAGTACACTTTTGTTTCTTACAGCATCCAAATAGTTTTCTTTTTCCCAAATCCATAGGAGATGATTGGTTTTCTAACTGAACTTTAGTATATACAGTTTGCAATTTTTTCTTCCCAGAGTAAACTATGTAGAGTAGGACTTCACAGTGCTTTTGATAAGATGTGGGAAAGGTGCTTTGCAATATGTTACAGGATAAATGCAGCACATGCTTGTGTATCATTTAAAAGTCTATCTTTTTCTGAGAGTGCAAGGCTGCTGTGGAAGCCTGCAAATAGGTCTAATGCTTTCCCACGAAAAGAAACTTGTGCCTTCAACTTAGTCTTAATTCCTGATGACCTGATGGACTCCCTACAGTTTTTTTGGTAACATTTTTAAAAGTGGTTTTGCTGAGAGAGAATGACTAGATTAAAGTAATCCAATAGCTTTTTGTATAAGGTAGAAATAGAATTCTAGCCTCCTGGTTTTTAGCTGATGGCCCAATCACTGTATCAGACTGGCCCACAACGCCCCTTCCCTTCTGTCATTAAAGCAGAAATCTTGCAACAGCAAGAAAAAGACATACCTAATTTAATAAATAACAAACAGATCCTGCATTCACCTCTTCCTAGTCAAATTTTTAAAAGTATTATGTAACATTTAACAAGTACCACTGAATATTTTGGGGTAAATATAATGTAGAATTGCTAAGATTCCTTTCTGTAATTTTAAAATGTTAGTTATTCTTTTAACTGGTTTAGTAATGGAATTATTTAAATGCTATTTCTTTTTGTAAACTGCTTTTTGGGGAAAAAGTGATAGATATGATAATATAAAACTGATATTTCATGCTTTTTTCAATATAAAACTTTATTTCTGCTTAGCTGCAAGATAATGAACAAGAAATGGCAGCTTCTCCTCCTTCAGCCACATCAGGGAAGTCAAAGGTATATTTCTATAAACTTTTCTGACACCTTTATAATCAGAATTGGAAGTCACTATCAGGGTCATCTGGATGAACGTTTCTCAACTTCACTAACTTTAAAATATATGGATTTCAACCTGCTGGCTGGAGAAGACTGATAGTTAAAGTCAATTCAAAGTTGCTGAAAATGAGGAACACTGATCTAGATTGCTACTACCACCCCACTCTGGATTCAGCGGGTGACTATTCAGCCTCTGCTTAAAAACCTCTAATAAAGGAGAATTTATCATTTCATATCAGAGACTATTTCACTGTCTAATAGTTTATCACAGTCTGGAAATTTGTTCTGATGTCTAATCACAACCTGCTCCCTTGTAGTTTTAACTAGTTGGTCCTGACCTCTGTGGCAATCAATAATAATTTTTCTCTCTTTTCTATATGACAAGCCTTCATAAAAACCTTCATTAAAACTGCTATCATCTATTAGTTGTTTCTTCTGTAAATCGAACATACCCAGATTCTTTGAACATTACATGCCTTTATTATATAAACAAGCCCCCACTATCTTGGTAGTAATCCCCTGAATCTCCTCTGATTTATCACTGTGATTTTTTAACAGTGGTGACCAGAATGAGATACTCCAAGTGGTTTAATAAATTGGTTCATTTTCAAATATAAATATTAACTTTGTTTTAAATATAAATACAGAACTATTGCCATTAAGTTTATTTATTTTTTATTTGGCAAGAAATAATGGATATAGTTTTTAGCGGAAACATCTTCCAATCATACCAGGAAAAGTAATTAAAATGCTATTTTTTAAATTGATCTTTCACGCAATAATCTGTTTAAAATAAAATATAGCTTTTGCAATGTTCAGATATTCTTTTTAAGCTTCATTCTATGTGTAATTGGGTTAGCAAATCAAAGAATTATAAATATCTCAGGATAGTTTAATTTACTAAGTCCTCAAATATATCTTAATCTTAACCAACATAATAAACTGCAGAAATTTCAGTTGGAAATCAGTGTTGTCCAATTATCCAGGTACCGTGTTTCCCTGAAAATTAGACGGGGTCTTATTTTATTTTGACTCCTGAAATAAGCACTTGGCTTTATTTTCAGGGAGGTCTTATTATTTTTGAGGTGCAGGAGGCGGCGAGCGTGGTCACTTCATGGCTGCTGCTGTGTTGTAATATTTTCGGGGAGGGCTTATTTTAGCGCATGCGCTAAGAAGGCTGATTGGGCTTATTATCCTCAGAGGTCTTATTTTCAGGGAAACGGTATATTATTCTTCAGTCTGTAAGATCAAAACTCTCACAGGGTTTCTTTTCTGGATCAGGAATTTTGTTATTGAAACATTTAGTACCCCTCAATATTGTCTGTTGTAGTCTGTTGACTTGGAAGCTGAAGGTTTTATTCTACTGGACTCGTAGAACAGTATTAAGGTAGCTCTTCAAGATATCTTGCTTTATATTTTGAAATATATCATGGAGGAATATGGAGGTCTATTGTAATTTTGGAAGACGTAAGTGCTTTAAGTATTATTGTTCTGAGCGGTTGATCTCATTTTGTAGGTCTATTGGAACTAAATGTGTTTTACAATGATATTAAACCAAAAAGAGTACATCATACATTACAATGTTTTCTTATGAGTCCTGAAGTCAACCGCCATCTGTAGTAATATATCGGTTGAAGAGCAGAACCAAATATGTTCTGTATGATTATCTGTATGTTTAAATGAAATTTGAATATGCATCCATTTTAATTTGCGTTTATGGATTTTACAGCTGGACACATTAACAAGAGAAGATCTTATCAAATTTTCAAAGAAGCAAATGATGCTTTTACAGAAAGTGAAATCCAGATGTGCAGGTATCTTTACAGAAACATATTTAAATTTATTTAAAAGCCATATGGCAGGCTACTCTGGAGAAATTTAGCAAATCCTTCCTCTATATTCTCTCTTCCCCTCCACCTCCCGCCCATAACTTGCATTAGCATCCATGATATGAAGCTTCCTGATTAGACATGTTCCTGTTAATAATGCTGAACTCTACAGGTTATATAGATTATATTTTGTTATTGTGTAAAAATAAGATATAAATATAACAAGATACTGATTCATACTCAAATAATAATTTTCTCTAGAATTAGAAAAAGAAATTGAGAAACTAAAAACAACATCTGTGGCTGGAGGAACTGATGATATTATTCAGGTATGAATCCATAATAATGCATAACATATGGTGCAATAATGTTTAATTCCCAAGAAATTCATTGTTTGGTCCAGTGGGAATGATAATGGCTTGAGTTATGTAGCTCACATTGCTCTGTATGTCTTTTGCATCATTTACCTAGAGATAAAATAAAATACAGACTGCTGGTTGATTGTGAATAACTTTTAAATTGAATTTCATTCAATATGGATTGCTTTTTAGCTTCTTCTGTGTTCTTAGAATTGAATACTGTTTATGTCTGGTATAAAAATGTCTTATTATTTTTTAAGCTAAAATTCAAATAGTGAAAGGAATTGTTAGCTTTAATTATTCAACTCACCATACAACTTATAAGAAGGTTTTACCTACTTTAAGACATAATGGCAACTTTTGGATGAAATACTATATTATAATCATAGTATTATAATACTATATGCAGAAACCTAGGCTCACTCTCCCCTCCTCATTGTAGCTACAAAGAGCTCTTTTCCATTTTCCTTTAACCTCAGTTCAGTTTTACATTCAAACTCTAAAATGAAAAAGGTTTACTAAAACATGGTTTAATTAACCATGGTTTGCTTGGCTCACATGGACTGCAATGTAAGGCTCAAGTAGGATTAAAAATTGCACTAATTGAAAAACACAAGTGAAACCTTCTAATCATAGTCGTCTAATAGGACTAATCATAAAAGTGTAAGTACTTTTATCATCCCTTTCTTTTGTCACCTCTGTCCTCTAATATGATAGAGTAGGTCTGATGTTTATTGATAAACAAAGTTTACTCTATATTTTGGGATTAATGATGAATACCTTCTATAACCAAAATTGACTGAAGGATATGTATTGTGTTTTTGTTAATTTTTTTCATTTTAATGGTAATGACCGGATTATTTTCCTTCCCCTGTTAAGATGTCATTTATTTGTGAAGAATGTATACAGGTGAATTTCACTGAAAGATCATTGATATAATTAACATGGAAACAAATATTTCTGAATAACTTTCACATAAGAGAACACATGATGAATAACTTCCTTCCCACCCCCCTCAGACTTCTGGGTGTTATGCCAAAACAAGCAATAACTCCAGGAGAGTGGTTCTAGTATAGTCTCTGGCAAAGAAAAAAGAGAACTTAAGAGAAAATGCTGTGTTTGTGTGCGTGTGTGTTTTTAATAAAGTTAATGTATCTCTGCTTTTGAAAGGTAATTACAATTTTTTTCTCTCTTCTCAAAACTAGGCACTTACAGAGAAACTGAATATGGTTCTTTTGGAAAAAGCAGAAGCCCAGCAGCAGTGTGTAGCTCTGAAAAAAGACCATGTGAAAAAACAGCAAGAAGCAGAGGTATTCCATAAGAAGATTTGATAATTGTTGACATTAAAACATAGTTTATTAAATAGATTTGAGTCACAGAAAATCCTTTCATTTAAGCTTTTTGGCTTCTAATTCTGATTAATATGAACTGCCCAATTTTCTCTTGCAAACAGGCAAATACAAATGCTAGGAATGAACCACACAAGCGTGTAATGTTCATTGAAATCTGTGTATAGGACAGTGTTTCTCAATCTTGGCAATTTAAGAAGTGTGGACCTCAACTCCCAGATTTCCCAGCCAGCCACTATCCTGACGGCCAGGAAATTCTGGGAGTCAAAGTCCACATCTTAATGTCACGATTGGGAAACTACATTATTCCAGTCCTGAAATGTGGGTCAACAGTGTGCCATTGTAAGATTTGCAAATCTTAATGTGATAAAAAAATATTTTAATGACAGAGAAAAGCAAAACTAAACACTAATGCACATATATATGTTGAGTGAAAATGTTATACTCTACATATGGGGCATTCAGATACTATAAAAATATAGAAGTTCTAAATTTTTATTCTAAATTTGCATTATTCTTCTACTTTGCTAAACATTTTACTGTTCTCTGATCTCTCTGTTTTGGAAAAAGTATATGAAAGTACATTTAGGATTTAATCTGATACTCATTTGTCTGACACAAGTTTATCATCAGACATAAAGTTTATTGCTGTATAAATTTCCCGTTCAGTTTTACAAATGGAATAAATTGGAAAGGAACTAAATCAATTAAGTTTATATTATTTACGGACTATATAGTATATTCTGTTGTATTTAGAAATCCTGTCTTGCTAAATGAAATGTACATTTTCCCCTTATCAGAAAATTATTGCTCTAAGTCAGTGATGGCAAAAGCAGGGGAACCCGTGGGGTTGTGCGCGGGAGTGCCACACCTCCAATGCAATGAGCGAAACCCTGCAGCACGCATGGGCGCATGACAGGTGTGAACCCCCATTGTTTGCATGTTTTTTTCACTCTCCCCAGGCTCCAGAGGCTTTAGAGACCCAGAGACCCCCCGGAGGCTTCAGGAGCTTCCATGAAGCCTCCAGAGCACAGAAAACCAGCCCCTATGGGCAAACCGGAAATTCGGGAACAGACTTCCGTTTGCTCGTAGGGCCAGTTTTATTCCTCCGGAGCCTTCAGGGGCCTTCCGGAGGCTTCCCTGAAGACTCCAGAGGACAAAAAAGGACCCTAGAGCAAACTGGAAGTCACTTGTAGGGCCAGTTTTAGGGAAGGCCCCTGAAGGCTCCGGAGGGCTTAAACCGGTCCTACGAGCAAACCGCAAGTCCATTCCTGAACTTCCAGTTTGCCCATAGAGCCGAGTTTTTTGCGCTCCGGAGACTTCAGGGAAGCTCCTGGAGCCTCCGGGGGAGCAGGGGAGGCTATTTGCACATGCTGGCCAGCTGACAGGGCAACGCCTCGCATGCCCTGACAAATGGCTCCGCATGCCACCTGCGGCATGCGTGCCATAGTTTTGCCATCCCGGCTCTAAGTTGAGATAAAGATATAAAACAATAATGGTACCTCTGCAGATTGCACATGTATATTTCTTGTAAAATCTACTAAATGTTTGATTGTTAGTTCTATAAAATAGACCTGATGCTTCATCACATATTTGATTTTTTTTTTTAATTAGGCTGCTCTTGCTCAGGAAGAAATATGGCAGAAGAAGTTTGCCCAATTGAATACCTCTCACCAGAAGGAAATTGAAAGCCTTAAAAATGAAGGATTAATTGCACAGTCCAAATTTAATGAAACTATAGCTACATTGCAAAAGGAGCTGCATATAGAACTGAAAAAACAAGAACAGCTCACAGAACAGCTTAACTTCCATACTAATGAGCATGATGAAATTAGAAGACTACAGGAAGAAATCCAGCAGACAAAGATCACTTACGAAGAGCAGATCTTGAATCTAAAGAAACAGATAGAATTTTCCAATGCATCTAAAGAGGAGGAAATTACCAAACTAAAAAGTACTATTGAAAGTAATTCTAGACAGCATCAAAACAGAATTGATGAGTTAGGTGAAGAGCTAGACAAACTGAAAACCTCTCACCAGGATGAGCTATCAGAGCTACTGCAAAAACTTGAAGCCTCTGCTAAATTATGTGAGGAGGAGCAAATTAAAGTAGATAAGCTAAAGCTGGACTTGATAGAGCAATACGAGGTAAAAGAGAAAGAGATGCAGGTTGAATTGCATGCTTGTAAGGAGAAATATGAGCAGGAATTGGAATGCATAAGGCAGACCTTGACTAAGGATGATGAAAATCAAAATGAGACTAGAAATGCTGAAACAGAACCAGAAGTAATAGAAAAGACTGGGCATATGGATCAAGCTTTCAAAGAATTGGAATCTCGGCACAGTATATTAAGGGATGAATTAACTTATATGAACAATGTTAAAATGAAACTGGAATTGGAAGTCCAACATATAAAAGATGAGTATTTTCATGAAAAGGAAGATTTGGAATTCAAAATTAATGAACTGCAACTTTCTAAAGAAGATCATTGTTGTGTAATAGAAAAACTGAAATCAGAGCTCCAGTCGGCAAAAGAACTATACGAAAAACACATAAAAGAGAATAGCCTCAAAATCGAGGGTTTAGTAGAAACACACAAAAAAGAAGTATGTGAACTGAAACAAGCTATAACATCAAGCGCAGAGAAAAAAACCCAGTCATTTAATATTAAAATACAGGACCTCGAAGAACAATGTCAGAGGCATATAGAGGAGAAAGAAGAAGCCATCGCTAGTTATGAGAACTTGCGGGAAACACTGGTAACTTTGCAGACTGAATTGGGGGAATCAGCTGGGAAGATAAGCCGAGAATTTGAATGTATGAAGCAACAGCAGGCTTCTGATGTTGATGAATTACAAAAAAAGCTCCGAGCTGCTTTCAATGAAAGGGATGTCCTCCGAGAAGAGGTTAGTTCTCTCCGTCAACAGATAGAACATTTCTCCTCCCAAAAAAAGGAGGTAGAAGAGTTCGGGCATAAAATAGGGACACTTCAAGCAGAGAATGAGCAACTGCTTTGCTGTCTTCATCAAAAGGAGTCTGACCTAAAACAAATGGAAGAGAAAGAAAATGAACTTTCCTCACAGAATAGCAGCTTCCAGGACAAAATGCAAGATTCAGCTGAGAAAATAGAAAACCTGCAGAAAAAATGCAAAACACAACAAGAGACGGTAATGGAACTTCAGCAAGAAGTTGAAGCTCTTAGCATATGCAACCGTCAATTAAAGGAACAGGCAGAAGAGTTAGGAGAGAGACTGGAAGGCGTTTCTGGAGAAAAAGAAACAAACCAGGAGAAGCTGATTAAATTTGAACAACAAATGGAAGCCATGGAGCAAAGCAGAACAGGGCTATTATCTGAAATAGAGGCTCTTAAAAGTGAGAACAACAAATTGAAGGAAGAACAAGATCAAGCAAGGCAGGAGCTTGACCGCTTGTCATCTGAAAAAGGAGACTGGAATCTATCCAAAGATAAAGCAGAGAGCCTAGAAGTGAAACTACATATGGCCTGTGAAGAAAAAAGCCATTTGATTAAAGTACTTGAGGAAGAAAAGGCCTTTAAATCTCTTGTTGTTAGTCAGCTGCAAAGTCTCCATGAAAAGATGGGCTCCAAATACCCAGATGAAAACAAAGAAGAAGATATTATTGGCACGTTGCAGGCTGCAAATGAATGTTTGGCAAAAATGAAGCAAGACGAACAAACTCTGATCTCTGAGAAAGATGAAAATGTTAATCTGCGGCAGGAATTGCAGAGAGTCCAGGAAGAAAATGAAGCTTGTTGTGCAGAATTAAGATCTCTGTTGGATGATTATGAAAAAGAAAAATGTCTCTTAAAGGAGGAATTGGAAGGAGCTTTCTCAGAAAAAGAAGTACTTCAGCTTGACATCCAAGAGTTGAAACATACCAGTGAGAAAATCAGCAAGGAGAACCAAGATCTTCTAGTTCATATAGAAAATATTTCTGAACAACATGCAAATCAAGAAAACAAAATGAAAGAGCAGGAAGAAAAATCGGAAAAAGAACAGAAAAATCTAATCTTAATTTTGGAGCAAAAGGAGACTGAACTGAAAAATGTGCAAGCTGAACTTTCTTTGCTAAAGGTTAGGCTTTTATTATTGAAATCTTTAGGTTCTATTATTGACATCTTTAGACCCCAAGACTTAAGTTGGAAAGCTTTGGGGAAGTATATGCAAACAAATTTCTCTCTACTGCTCATAAGAGAATAAGTACAAAGATGTACTTTGTTTGAACTTTCAATGGTTCCTTTTCATTTTAGCAAACAAGATTGTTTTAATCCCCAAACAAGTATATTTGTAGGTATATGTGTACATTATCAAATTCAAAATGATCTTTTGATCAAAATTGGGTAATGGGTAGCATTCAACTTAATTTTCTTTTAGGATCAGAGAAGGGTTTTAAAAAAAATAAATAATAATGGCATTTTGAACGATGAAAGATTAACGCTTGTCTTCCATCAATTCAAAAGATCCCTTTTTCTCCTTAGTTTTCAGAGATGGATTTCAAGTTTGAAAGTTAATACATTTAAAGATTTCTTTGACATTGGCTGATCCAAAATACAGTTTGTACTTGTTTGTTGACTACAAGTGAAGCTGGCAATGTGGTCATTAAGCAAAATGGCCACTAAATGAAACTGCATTTCTTCTTATGATCTTACTTCAGCTTTCTTTTGCTTTACAGACCAACAGAGTTGGTTGCAGAGTTAATTTTTTAACACTTGTACATTGTGAAATGTCACTAATCAAGGAAGTTGCTAAATTAGGATTACCTGCAAACATGTCATAATGCTTTATGTTTTTTGTAATTTAATAATGCCCAAATCGTAATGTCCACCATTTACATAGAAGACGTACATACCAAGTAAAGGTAGTCCTTGACCTATGACCATAATTAAACCAACAATTTATGTTGCAAAATGAAAAGTTTGTTAAGTGAGTTTTATCCAATGTTACGATCTTTCTTGCTACAGTTGTTAAGCAAATCACTGCAGCTGTTAAATTACTAACACAGTTGTTAATAAATCTAGCTTCCCCATTGATTTTGCTTGTCAGAAGATGCAAAAAGTGATTGCATGACCCTGGGAAATTGCAACCGTCATATTTATGAGTGAGTTGCCAAGTTCTGAATTTTGATTGTGTGTCCATGGTGCAATGGTTGTAAGTGTGGAAAAACGGTCATAGGTGACTTTTTTCAGTGTCTTTAAACAGTCACTAAACAACCAGCTGTAAGTTGGTACTCCGGTTCTACCTGTAAATCCTGCTGGGTTTTTTTATTGTATAAAAACAAAAAATTGACCAGTCTGATAATTTTATGTTAAGATTATGATAGGATTTCTGTCTCTAGAACTTGTTTCCTTCACCAAGCAAAAGGAATCATCTGCTGAAATGCTCATCTTACTTATTTTTCTTTATAATGCAGGAGTCTGTAGAGAAGTCTTCTGCTGATCGCGATCAGCAATTATTAGAAACAGAAAAAATAGGTAATTTATACATTTTTTTTGCTTTCTTTTCATATCTTTCTTTTATTTTTCAAAAAAGTTTGTACAGAAATCATTACCGTATTTTTCGGAGTATAAGATGCATCTTTTTCCCTCAAAAAAGAGGCTGAAAATCTGGGTGCATCTTATACACTGAATACAGCATTTTTTTGCCTCCCGAAACCCTGCTTCCTTCACCAAAATGGACATGTAGAGCCTCTAGGAAGCTTTTAGAGAGCTGGGGGCTGGGAAAAACCCCATGCCCTTTTTTTTTTTTTTTACGAAAAACGGGTCCATTTTTGCAAGTTAAAAATGCTTGTTTTTGCCTCCCCACCCAGGAGCACTCTGCAAGCCCCTTAAAGGCTATTCATGCCTTTTGGGGGGGGGGAGGGAACAGGTCCATTTTCGCGAAAAACTGGCTGTTCTTGGGAGGTTTGCAGAGTGAAAAAACTTTTTTTATTTACCTCTTCATAACCTTGTTGCCTCTTATACTCCGGTTCGTCTTATACTCAGAAAAATAGGGTAAATGCTTTTCTATAGTTTGTTATATGGAGTAATACCCTACCAGTCTCTGCGAAGCAAGAACCTATGCATGTGCCTTAAATTACCGATTATAGTTTTAGCATAATGCTCTTGAGAGTAAATATACTTAATAGACAAAGCTCATGCAGAGGATAATTTAAATAGCAGGCTTTGAGGCAAATATTGAACATTAAATTTTTCTTTAAAAATATATAATTTTGTGATTTGGCATTTAAGAGATTGAGGTGAAGTAGCAAGTGATCACTTAATTTATTTCAATTTGATGACTATGAACATTTTTACCACACACTTAATATATTAGATGTGCATTATTTGTTGTTGAATTGATGCTGCTAATTGTCAAATCTTAGACCATTTCAAACTGAAGTCCTTTGAAATGGTGACTAAATGCAGCATACAATTCAAGTGGCGATACAAATAATGAAATGAATACTTTTAATATAGTTATTGGCTATAGGAAGATTTTTGCTTTTACATTTTAAAATATTAATTTGATTTGCTTTAGTAAATTTGGAACAACAGCTGAAAGAGAAGGAAGAAAAAACAAATAAAATTAAAGCTGTTGCTGTGAAATTGAGGAAAGAACTGGAATCTAGCAGGAAAGAGGTAAGTTGTCAAAGGAAACCTCTACACTATCATTCAGTTGAAGTGTTGGTAATGCAATTTACATTACACTACAAATTACATTTATATTGTAAATACATTGGTAATGTAATTATAATATGTTAAAAGTAACATTAATAATTTTAATTGTAATATATTTTCTGAATTGTATTGTCACCCAAAATCATTTGTTGAGATGGGTGGGTCTAGAAATCAATCAATCAAATAAATAAAGGTCATTCTGGCACCATATAAAGTTTCTAAGCGCTGTTTTTATCTTATTTCATTGAAGATAAATGATATGAACATCTGGTTTTAGTTACTTTGTTCACTAAAAACTATTTTGTTTCTTAATTTACATACATTTATGCTTGTGGATTTGGTGGCAAGTTTACACTTGATTTTGCAGTGAGCACATAGTAACAGTAGTCTACATATTCAGTACAATTTGTTGGAAGCATATTTTATCACTTTTTGAAGTGGCTTAGTAAATACATATTAAGGACAACTCTAAAATTGTTCTTTTTTTAACTTCTAAAATAATCAATTACTTGCTTTCTATTTATTTCAAACATTTTGATTTAATTAAAATCAAATCTTTGTTACAGTCAAAGGCCCTAATAAGGTAGGTGGCACATAAAAAGCATTCAAAATACTTTGATGCTGTTTCAAGCCCAATAGACATTCTTGAAAATATCACTGTGTTCAATCTAGGGCGGTCACTGGAACCAGCGGTTTTGTCTTTTGGATTTGTATTTGAGCCCATCTTCAGGGAACTTTTCTCTAGCACACTCTGAGTCCGAAAGCCTGGAAGACAAAACCACTGGTCCCAGTGATCGACCCAGATTGGATCCTGCAACATTCTTCTGGGACACATATATTCGCCTTCATTCATATCGCAGCATTGCCTACATAAAATAAAACAGGGGTGCGGGAAAGCTAAGAGTTGGTGGATCAGAGTGAGCAGGCAGCTACAGGAGGCTTGTCTTTGCATCTCTTGGCTTTCCTGCAGCCCACGGCATGCCCAGATCACCTGCCTCCCCATGCCTCTGTCTCTGTGTCTGATGCTTGGACAGGGAATCAGCCAGGCTGATCTCCCTGAAATCATGATTATCTGAAAATAAGCCCTGGTGCTTATTTTGGAGTCCCCAAATATGTAAGATGGAGTGTTATTTTCTAGGAAACGTGTGTGTGTGTGTGTGTGTGTGTGTGCATACACATACATACATATACACACAAACTTTGTTAATAGATTTTCCACTTGAATATTTTCATGTTGAAAGAGCTAGATGCATTACTTTGGAGACTTGCTGGCAATTGTACAGATTATATTTGTAAAGCT